TTATATATTNTGTGTGTGTGTTATATATATATATATATATATATATATATATATATACATGTATCTATATTAAGATGGAACTTGGTTGTTTTAGTGTTTTAGGGTTTTACTAAATTACAAGATACTGTTTATCCAGCCAGCAGCTAGGCGAAGTGCATCGCAAGACATGCTGAAGAGTGCGCTATCAACACACATACGCAGCCATTGTGTATTTGTTGGAAATATGCACAGCTGCACTGAAAAGTTGTGTGTGTTGTATTTGCGTCCTGTGCTGTTTCTGTGTTATTTCGCTCTGTGTTGGTTTCGTATGAGCCCATCCCTTGCGCTGGTGCTCATTCGTAACTGTCTGTGTTACATTGGCCATCGTATGTGTAAACTTTAGATTGTGCTGAGGTACATACAATTTGGATGTGCCATCCCATATAAATATCTATATCATCAAATATGAAAGTATCCATCATCCTATATGAAGGTGTATAGCATTGTATATATTATTGTCATTCTTTATCAATGTATATATCGCCAGATGTTTTTACCTTTGGGCCCACTCGATACTTGTGGCGCGGTCTTGACCACCACCGCAAATCCTAAACCCTAAACCTTACACCCTAAAGCATTTAAAGGCTATCACTCTCTGTAATCCCACGCGATAGTCTCTATACGTTTGCTTTGACAATCTCTTCTGCGCACATTGTGGACGTGACTAACTATGTCACTTTATCATCTGTCCACGCACATATATATATATATATATATATATATACTCACACACACACAGACTCACATACACACACTGTAACGTATGACCACACACCCTCACACTCACACTCACTCATACACACACATACTCTCTCTCACACATACTCACAAACACACACATACTCACACACACACACATACTCACAAACACACACTTCAACATATGACCACACACACACACACTCACACTCTCACACACACATACATAATCACACATACATAATCACACACACACTTTAACATATGACCACACACACTCACACTCACACTCACACACGCACACACACACTCTCTCTCTCTCGCTCTCTCTTATCCGCAGCGGACGCCAATTCGTCGCGCGACTGGACACAGTACTGCCGCAATCAGCTGCCTTTGCAGGTACGATGTTAGCCCTAAAACCCTATAACCCTATTACCATAAAATCCTTTTACCCTAAAGCCCTACTACCCTAAAATCTTATTACCCTAAATTCCCTAAAACATTTTCCCATGCTCAACGGTTGCCACAGACACAACACGCGCTACAAAGTACGAACATGTTGTTATTCGGTTGGATATTGTGTGCATATCCAATGTGTCCATCTGCTTCTTCTGGGTACTTCTACTGTCACTAACGTGTGTACTTTCGTCTGTACTTTCGTCTGTACTTTCGTCTGTACATTCGTGTGTACTTTCGTGTGTACGTTCGTGTGTACGTTCGTGTGTACTTTCGTCTGTACGTTCGTGTGTACTTTCGTGTGTACGTTCGTGTGTACTTTCGTGTATACTTTCGTGTGTACTTTCGTGTGTACGTTCGTGTGTACTTTCGTGTGTACTTTCGTGTGTACGTTCGTGTGTACGTTCGTGTGTACTTTCGTGTGTACTTTCGTATGTACTTCCGTGTATGCTTGTTTGTGTACTTTCGTGTGCACTCAACTGTCCACCCCTGCTCTCCCTCATGACCCCAGTGGGGATGACCATTGCTGCGTGGTTGCTGATGGGCTATGATGCGGATGTGGTTGTGGTGAGGTGTGGATCGTTGTGTGCAGCGCAGGTGGCCTTCTGGAATGATCTGTACAGGGGAGCACTGTCAGAGTTCTATTACATTAACGATCTGGTAGTGCCCCAATTCACAATCATAAGCGAAGGCCCTGACATCGCGCCACACGAGTATGTGACGTACACACTCAGTGCATTAGGTATACATATGTCACACAGTACAGTAGATAATACATATGTCACACAGTACAGTAGATAATACATATGTCACACAGTACAGTAGGCACTACATATGTCACAGTACAGTAGATAATACATACATCACACAGTACAGCAGATAATACATATGTCACATAGTACTGTAGATAATACATATGTCACACAGTACAGTAGGAAATACATATATCACACAGTACAGTAGATAATACATATGTCACACAGTACACTAGATAATACATATGTTACACAATACAGTAAGTAACACATATATGCAGCTGCTGGGCTATGCTCCCACACAGAGAACATATGATACACACAAACTACGCAATTGGGATTATATTGATGTGGCAATTATATATGTAGCATATAGTGATGCTCCATACTGTCGTAAATGCCATACGGCGTATAAATCTGTAGCATCTAGGGGTCTACTAATGGGTCTCACTCGATACAACAGCCCTCCGCAACAGACCAAAACGCCACATAAGAAGAGAGCACTGGTGCCATTGGGCGGAGGCAAGGACTCACTAGTAGCACTCGAACGCATGCGCACCAGTGGCTACGACTGCACGCTGCTCTACGGTGGGTGCACCCTTGTGTCTTATTAACCATCTACAGACTATCAAGGATGGGTAGCCACACAATCACATGTGCTCAGCTGCCACCTGTGTGGGTGGGTGTGTGTCTATGTCTGTGCGTGTGTGTGCGTGCATGCGTGCGTGTGTGCGCGCGCGTGTGTGTGTGTGTGTGTGTGTGCGTGGGTGTGTGTCTGTGTCTGTGCGTGTGTGTGCGTGCATGCGTGCGTGTGTGCGCGCGCGTGTGTGTGTGTGTGTGTGTGTGCGTGGGTGCGTGGGTAGTATATATATCCCATGAGTACTGCCGAAGGCTACGACCGTAGGGGATAGGG